ACGCTCCCGCCCCGGCCCCGCAGGGCTACGCGCCACAGCAGTACCTGCAGGGCGGGCAGTACCCCGGCGCGCAGTACGCGCCCGCCGCCGCGCCGCCCGCCGCGCCCTCCCCGTCCTACCCCGGCCACAGGATGCAGCAGGGCATGGGGCAGTACCTGGCCGCCTCCGGCAACGCCGGGCCCTATTACAAGGTACGTGGGGACGACAGGCACGCGGGGGCGATGCCGCCCAGGGGGGTTTGGTGGTGACGCCATGGGGAGTTTTGGCATTTCAGCCCTGTTTTCCGCAGCCTGCCGAGCAGTTCAACGGGCAGAGCGGCAACTTCAGCACGTACAGCCAGGCTGCGGTGAACGGGGTGAGTGGCGGCGGCGCCTGGGGGCCGGGTCCCCGCACGGCACCAGTGGCGCAGGCCGCCCGGCGCCCGGCGTCGCGCCCGTGACGGTGGCGGTGCCCCCGCAGCCGGCCAGGTCGATGCCCGGCTACCCCAGCTCGCCGCTGCCCGGGAACCCCACGCCGCCCATGACGCCGGGCAGCAGCATGCCGCCCTACATGTCGCCCGGCCAGGACGTCAAGTCGCCCTTCCTGCCCGACATCAAGCCCAGCATCAATTCCCTGCACCCGTCACCCTCGGGTGAGCACCCCTAGTGCTCCCCCGGCCTCGACTGAGCGGGGCCACCCGCCACTGGCGTTGCCCTTTTAAGAGCAGGGGCTGGAAGAGGAGGGGCGGGGCCTCCAAGGGAGAGGGCGGGGCCTCCACGGGAGGGGGCGGGGCCATGGGCTCTGGGGTAGGGGGCTGGCAGGTGCTGCCCAATGAGGGGGCAGATGAGGGGCGGGGAGACTCCAGCAGAGGGAGGGGCTTGTGGAGCGGGTGGGAGGGGCTCAAGTGCAAGGGGCTCCAGTTGAGTGGGGCTTGGAGGAGTGGGAGGGGCTTTTTGCATGGGGCGGGGCTTCTAGGGGGAGGGGCACAGGGAGGGATCTGCGATACTGAGAAGGACACGCCCTATGGGGCGAGGCATGGAGTGGGCGGAGCAATACAGAATTGCCCCAAGGAGTGGGCGGGGCTACCTGTGTAGCATTATTGTGCTTAGTGGGAGGAGCTTCTGCCCTGGGGGGTGGAGCCTCATGCAGTAGGAGGGACTAAGCACCCAGGGTGGGGCCTTAGGTGGGTGTGGCTACTCCATTGGGGGTGGGGCCTACATTTGTGGGCGGGGCTAATGCATCAGAGGCAGAACTCCAAGGTGGGGTGCTGGGAATGGGGGGCTTTGGTGGGCGGGGCCACTGCCAAGATGGGCGGGGTCTCTGCAGCGGGGGCGGGGCCTATGCAGCGGGGGCGGGGCCTGCCGCCGGGCGGGCGGGCGCTGAGGTGCGGCTCGCAGGCGCGCCGGCGGGCGAGGAGCTGCGCCTGACGTTCCCGGTGCGCGACGGCGTCGTGCTCGAGCCCTTCCGCCTGCAGCACAACCTGGCCGTGAGCAACCACGTCTTCCAGCTGCGCGACTCCGTCTACAAGACCCTCATGATGAGGTGAGCGCCGGCCCCGCGGCCCCCGCCGGGTCCCCCGCCCCGGCGCCGCCACCCAGCGCCCCGTGCCCGCCCCGCCAGGCCCGACCTGGAGCTGCAGTTCAAGTGCTACCACCACGAGGACCGGCAGATGAACACCAACTGGCCGGCGTCGGTGCAGGTGAGCGTCAACGCGACACCGCTCACCATCGAGCGCGGCGACAACAAGACCTCGCACAAGCCGCTCTACCTGAAGCACGTGTGCCAGCCGGGCAGGAACACCATCCAGATCACGGTCACCGCCTGCTGCTGCGTGAGTGGGGGGCGGCGCGGGGGGCCCGCGGCCGGGCGCCGCGGCCGCCTCACGCGCCTCTCGCCCCGCGCAGTCGCACCTCTTCGTGCTGCAGCTGGTGCACCGGCCCTCGGTGCGCTCCGTGCTGCAGGGCCTCATCAAGAAGCGCCTGCTGCCCGCCGAGCACTGCATCACCAAAAGTGAGTGGTGCCCCCGGACGCCTGGGCCCCTTGGCGTCCCCTCCCAACCCGCCCGCCGTGGTTCTCCGGCCCGCTCCGACGCTTGTTCCCTCCGCTTTAGTCAAGCGTAACTTCAGCAGCGGCACCATCCCCGGCACGCCGGGGCCCAACGGCGAGGACGGCGTGGAGCAGACGGCCATCAAGGTGTCCCTCAAGTGTCCCATCACCTTCCGGAGGATCCAGCTCCCGGCGCGGGGCCACGACTGCCGCCACATACAGGTGCGTACGGGGACCGGGGCGGCCGGGGCGCAGCCCCACACGGCGGCTCAGCCCTCGCTGTCCCCTGCAGTGCTTCGACCTGGAGTCCTACCTGCAGCTCAACTGCGAGCGGGGCACGTGGCGGTGCCCCGTGTGCAAGTGAGTGCCGTCCCCGTGTCCTCGGCGTGCCTCGCTTTCCCCGTTTCCCCCCCAAAACCCCCCGTTTTCTCCTGCCTGCAGTAAGACGGCCCTGCTGGAGGGCCTCGAGGTGGACCAGTACATGCTGGGCATCCTCATCTACATCCAGAAGTAAGTGGTGCGCGCGGCGGGAGCGCGGCGGCGGGAGCGCGGCGCCCTCACGTGTCCCCGCCGCCCGCAGCTCCGACTACGAGGAGATCACCATCGACCCCACATGCAGCTGGAAGCCGGTGCCCATCAAGCCCGACCTCCACGTCAAGGAGGAGCCCGACGGGCCGGTGCTCAAGCGCTGCCGCACCATGAGCCCCACGCACATGGTGCTGCCCAACATCATGGAGATGATCGCGGCGCTGGGCCCCGGCTCGGCGCCCTTCCCGCCGCTGCCTCCGCCGCCCGCCGGCGCCGACTACGGCGCCCAGGGTACGGGGACCCCCGCGGCGCGGGCACGCGGGGTGCCTGGAGCGCCCCTTCATCCCCCCGCTTTCATCCCGCAGGTTCCAGCTTCGCGGGCGCCGGCAGCTTCCCGGAGTCCTTCCCCGGCGGCCCGGCGGCGCTGAGCGAGTTCACGCCGGGGCCGCCCCCCATCTCCTACCAGTCGGACATTCCCAGCAGCCTCCTGCCCCCCGAAAAGCCGCCCGGACAGGTGGGTGTCGCTCGGAGCCGCGCGGGGACACAGCAGGGCGGCCGCGCTCACCGAGGCTCTCACGGCTCCCGTTTGGCAGCTCCCCGCGCCCGGCCGCATGGAGCCGCCGCACGCGGCGCCGGTGCCGCTGGGTGCCCCCCCGCTG